ATAGCCGAACCACCACAAAAACGTTATATCCAACGATGTCAGTTTCATCGAGCATTTTCACCTCAAGCTAATGAGACACACACACACACCCGTTAGTCCCTGGTGCAACTTTGATTCACGTATGATTTGATTGTTTTGAATTTCGCGCAAAGCTACACGAGGGCTATCTGCGCTAGTCGTCCCTAATTTAGCAGTGTAAGACTAGAGGAAAGGCAGCTAGTCATCACCACCCACCGCCAACTCTTGGACTGCTCTTTTACCAACGAATAGTGGGATTGACCGTCACTTTATAACACCCCCACGGCTGAAATGGCGAGCATGTTTAGTGGAACGGGGATTCGAACCCGCGACCCTCAGATTGCAAGTCGAGTGCCCTAACCACCTGGCCATGCCGTACCCTTCACCTATGAAGAGTTCATGTGTCCTATGGTGTTGAAGTAAATTCTGGTGATTTTTTGTGTGGCAGCGGGACACAAAACCTGGACCCTCAGATTCACAGTCTGGCATACTTACACGAGGCTAATAAGCCAGACCAAGAAATTTAAGTTTCGTGTCAGCCAGATGTTTCTTAATATATGTCCACACAGGCTGCTGCCGTAAATAAAAGGTTTATCTGTTTGTTGTTAAATCACTTTCATATTTAGCATCACGTAGTAATTTGTCCACCTATTAAATTCTAGGGCCTCTGGTTCTTGTGCGTTATTAAACTGAAACTGGCATGACTGTTTTAGACTGGGCAGTTTGAAGACTTGTTTTTACATTGGCTATACCACAAACATCTTTAATCTTAAATTTAAACTATACTAAGGGAAACGCCATAATCTCAGTCAGTCCAATCACATTCGTGTGAAAAAAGAGCAATGACCATTTAATCTTTCATTAGGAATGTCCGGCTAATGACCTTCCTGGGTCGTCGTGCTTGTCATCAAGACAAACACAGCATAGAGTGAAAATAATAATCAGAAACCTTCTACAGGTAGGTGTTACTAAAGGATAAAAAATGGGCTTAGAAATAAAATCAAACTATAAAAAATAGACACGAATTTTCAATGATTTACTTTGATACCGAGAATATTAGAACACTAATTTATGAAACAGGTGACCCAGAGATCAAGATGGTTTCACTAACATTCATAATAAGTAACCCTGCACTGGCTCAGTGGCTGTCTGAAGACTTATAACGCTAAAAATCGGGTTTTGATACCCGTGGTGGCTACAGCACAGATAGCATATTGTGTAGCTTTAGGCTTAACAACAAATAAATGATTCACTGCGATACTAAAATGTTACGTGTTCAGTTAAATATTAGGGGGAAAAATAAATAGTTAAACATAAAGCTACACAATGGGCTATCTGTACTCTGCCCACCACGGGTATCGAAACCCAGTTTCTAGCGTTGTAAGTCCGCAGACATACCGCTGTGCCACTGGGGGAGGGTGTTTGTTTGAAGTTAAGCACAAAGCTACACAATGGGCTATCTGTGTTCTGCCCACCACGGGTATCGAAACCCGGTTTCTAACGTTGTAAGTCCGCAGACATACCGCTGTGCCACTGGGGGGGGGGGGGCGTTTTAGGCTATAATACAAAACCCGAAAATAACACAGCTCATGGCAGTAATGAAATTGTCCCAGTTACGTTTATATCTATCATGCAAATGATTGTTTAAATCAATGTTTCGTTACTTAGGTGATCTGAATCATTGACTGCGTACGTAATTAACGTTTTCTAAAGTAGAATAAAATACTACACTTCTATATGTAACTGGTTTATATCTACACGAGACGCTAAAGATACCCATCTCCAATTCATAGTAAACGTCACAATGACAGATTATTTCAGTTTTACTTTTCATAGTTGACCTACGTACGGTACGTACCCATTTAAAGGATAAGAACACATAGATAATACCAGAAGATTGTTGGGTTTTATTCTTCTTTCGAATGAAGTCACAATGGGGGGTATCTGCTGTGTCCACCGCGAGGAATCGAACCACGGATTTTAGCATTGTAAGTTTGTAAACTTACCGCTGATCCGCCGAGGGACCACAAATGATTAGAAAATACGTTTACTATACGGAAAATGCAGCTCCGATGTTGTTCGAAAACAAAAAGTGGATTATGGGTAAATTTCAGTCGAGAATTGCACCGAACTATATTTGTATTTCTGGCTACGCTACTAAGACTATCCGTCATCATCCCTAATTTTGAACAACTGACCAGAGGAAAATCAGCCCATCATCCACTATCCACACTGAGGGATTGACTATCACTCTTATAACGCACCCACAGTTTAAAATGTTGTGAATATTTGTGATATAATACGGATTCGATTCCAGCTCCGAAATGCAAAGCTCTACCCAAGGGCCAACCCACGCCCTCACACAAATAAAGTCGGTGCAAAAGCTACAGTGCGGGAATCGTAAAATTTATCCCCCATAAGAGCTTATTTGCTGATAAGCGCAAAACTATTCAATGGGCTATCGGATCTTTATCCATCAGGGAACCTCTAGTAAGAAAGGTTTCCATGGAAGCAGGACCCACATAGAAGGTGTCCATGGAAGCAGGACCCACACAGAAGTGGGGAAACACCATTTACCACTTTTAACTTACGTTTGCAAGCTTCATGTAAAAAAATATACGTATAATATTTTCCAGTGATTTTGAGTATAACTGATGACTATCCGTAACCAAGGGATTAATTGTCACTCTTATAACGCACCAACAACTTAAAGTGCGAGGAACATTTTGTGGCATTGCACAGATTCGAAACCGGCTCGCCAGCTCCGAAATCCAAAACTCTAAACACAGGACCAACCCACGCCCCTTTTAATCGTGGGTAAAATGTCTTTATTTCAATTCGTTTATAATGCTGTTAAGCCTACAAGGTTGCTTATTGGTATTTCACTGACTCGTATTTCCTAATGCTAACACGTAATCTCTATAGTTCGTGTAAATTAACGGAAACTCTCATAAGCATACATCAAACCAATGATCTCTAAGTCAGTGACTGAGATAATTGGTAATGCTCTCCAGACTGGTAAGTAGTATCATTGGTTTCTCCTCCTGGAGTTGACTTCTAACTTATAATTCTGGCTTTTACTTACAGATACCTAATGCTATTATTATAACCTCTCTATCGTAGTTTTCTATAAATACTCATGCCCTCTTCTAAACTCTGTGATTTAGTCTAACAAATCAATATCAGTAATTCATCCTAATCTTTCTGCGCATATTAATGCGTTATGCTACTGTAACGCCCCCTATATTTCCTATGGATGGTTTAACCCCTCCAGAAGTTCGTTGATAAGCGTTTATATTACTAAAGTATTGATATTTATCAATGTAACTCTTATAATTTATTCATAAATTGACCTTTAACCCTGAATGGCAATTATATTTCCGGCCAAATGGTTGTTCTAGAAATGATTAAATATATAATTATTAACAATCAATTATTCTTTGTGATTAAGACGTAAATCGTCTGATGTTAAGTATTACCGTTTCTTAATAAACTCAGACGTTTGAAAACGAATTAGTTACTTAATAAACATATGACCTATGTCAAAAACCCCGATTCTATCATAACCCAATAACTTTCAACAACTAATTTCTTGAAGCAAAACAATAAACAATGATTTCTAAATGAACACGCGAATTAAATGCGGCTATATTGTATTGTTTGCTAAAACAATGAATAATCTCTAACATTTTGTCTAAAGTTTAGTCGTTTTTTTAATGCCATGCCCGATTGTTAGCAAATAGCAAACTTTTAATAATCGAAAAACAAGTTCTTTCATAACCCCGTTCCTCCATAAGGCGAATATGGAGGTCTGTTTTTGTGAAGGAAAATATGTATTTGTATAATCAACAGTGAGAATGTGAAGACAATGGCCGAAACTATTTAATTCTACATTTTAGTCAGTGTCTGTCCACCTGTGAAAATTAATGCTTTGGTTGTTTAACTGCGATATGGAACTACTTTCAAATATATATATATATTAGCATAAATTTTGTAACGTTGTAAAATATGTACTACTCATTAAAAAAGAACAGTACAAATGTGGGATGTTTATTTATTACACAGGAAGGGACAATTCAAACACAATAATTTCACAAGGGATTAAACAAAACAAAGCTTCTTTGCTGAAATATACACACGCGATATAATGAATTATTTAGTTTCATTTTCTCGTGATATATTTCTATCTGAACAGAGATCCCTAGTTTCCGTGATTAGAAAAACAACAAAATAACTCCGCATGTAGATCTCTCAATAAGCCAAGTTTTACTGTTTATAAATACAAGCAGTATATAATTATACATTTCTTCAAACGACAATTCGCGCCATTTTTTAAAAGTAAATTTATTGTTTTTGTTTGTTTTTTTAATTATGCACAAAGCTACACAAGCGCTTTTCTGTGCTCTGCCAACCACGGGTATCGAAACCCGGCTTCTAGCGTCGTAAGTCCGCTGTGCCACTGGGAGGCTAAGTAAATTTAAACTCTTGTAGCTGTATACACACTTCATTTCTCTCCAACCAAACTCTTTTAGCTGTATACACACTTCATTTCTCTCCAACCAAACTCTTTTAGCTGTATACACACTTCATTTCTCTCCAACCAAACTCTTTTAGCTGTATACACACTTCATTTCTCTCCAACCAAACTCTTTCAGCTGTATACACACTTCATTTCTCTCCAACCAAACTCTTTTAGCTGTATACACACTTCATTTCTCTCCAACCAAACTATTTTAGCTTTATACACACTTCATTTCTCTCCAACTAAAGGACTTAGTTTTGATGTAAGTTTCATTAAATAAGTGTGAAAAACAATAGAAGCATTTCTGCAGCTTACATACAAAATAACATTTGATAAATATAAATGACGTGTTTACTGTGATGCCACATTTATCACTGCTCGCGACCTCATCTTTGTGCTTAATTCGTATTCGTAGAAGTAGATTACACTGCTTATATGCACTAACAGTTTGCACACTTACCTATTAGTTAATGTTCTGAACTTCTCCGAACAGATAAAGTTGATGACTGTTTTCGTGCATCGGTGCTCCTCTGGAGATGGGATACAGCTTAACTCTACCTTAACGTGACACCCGCTGTGAGTGCGAAGCGACGTTCTACAACCTGTTGCTCGGCGACGGTTCTTTATACTAAGACGGCCTCCTACGCCCAACTTGCGGGAAGCCCTTCACCGGCAATAGACGGAGAAGTACCGTATCTAACAGAGCTTGTCGTAATAGATGCAACAAACAATAGAACCGAGACGATCAGCTGGGCTCAACATCATCAGTTCCCGGTTTATCCTCCCACAGATGAAAGTCACGTGGCCGGATACCAAGCCGCTTGGTATGTGAACACGAACGTAGTGTTTATCCACTAATCAATTTCAAAGTGTTCGAACTTACTTGTAGACCTCCCGATGCTGACAATCTAGAAAAAAATTAAAAATAGCAAAACATGATTTTATGAATAGTTTCTTTGCTTTTCTTTATTATTATTGAAAAAAAAACCTTGTCGTCACTGGCGGTAAACTTAAAGATTGTGAATATTAAAGACTGTGGTAAAAGGGAATAATAACTTGAGATTTGGAATCATAGTTGGCGCTCAATTATGTAACCTAATGATAAAAAAATAATTCAAATTTTCTATAATATAATCAAGAATCCAATGAAATAAAACTAGATAAAAGATGCATATTTAAAAGAAACAAAATTCAATATCTTTGTAAAAATTGGACGACATTTAAAACAGCTCGCCAAATAAAACTACATTAACCACAGACGTCTAAAGGATAAATTGTATTCCTTCGTTCCTCCTTGATGCTACGTTTCTTTTAACCCTTAATTCCACACGTAAAGTCACATGCATGGTCCTTCTTATGCTCAGAAGAATGGTTATTTTACCATCATGATTACCAAAAAAAATTAGCATCCAAATATGAATCACAGATAAAAATAAATGAATAACGTAAGCTTCTTTATTCTGACGGGTCTGCCCCTATAAAGCACCGCTGAGGGAGACCGCCCCTTTTTTAATTCCCCTTCCCCAAACTTAAATTTGTGTGCTAATAGGAATCTCGATGATTTGGTGGATAAAGAGGTAGAAGTCAAAGGTGTGTTTGTGGCAAGAAGGACAAGAGCAGATGGCAAATAAGATTTTATTTTATTACATACAACAGAACTGTATATATTGTTAAATCTTATTACATACAACAGAACTGTATATATTGTTAAATCTTATTACATACAACAGAACTGTATATATTGTTAAATCTTATTACATACAACACAACTGTATACATTGTTAAATCTTATTACATACAACACAACTGTATATATTGTTAAATCTTATTATATACAACATAACTGTATATATTGTTAAATCTTATTATATACAACACAACTGTATATATTGTTAAATCTTATTACATACAACATAACTGTATATATTGTTAAATCTTATTACATACAACAGCAACTGTATATATTGTTAAATCTTATTGTATACAACACAACTGTATATATTGTTAAATCTTATTACATACAACACAACTGTAAGTATATATTGTTAAATCTTATTATATACAACACAACTGTATATATTGTTAAATCTTATTACATACAACACAACTGTATATATTGTTAAATCTTATTACATACATCAACTGTATATATTGTTAAATCTTATTACATACAACACAACTGTATATATTGTTAAATCTTATTACATACAACCACAACTGTATATATTGTTAAATCTTATTATATACAACATAACTGTATATATTGTTTTGTATGTAATAAGATTTCACAACTGTATATATTGTTAAATCTTATTACATACAACACAACTGTAAGTATATATTGTTAAATCTTATTATATACAATACAACTGTATATATTGTTAAATCTTATTATATACAACACAACTATATATGTTGTTCAATCTTATTATATACAACACAACTATATATGTTGTTAAATCTTATTATATACAACACAACTATATATATATTGTTAAAATTTTCTATCAATATTAAGGAAAACAAATTTAGTATAAAATGATGACTAAAGAAGGTTAAAATGTATTAAGCATAAGTTATTATAAAAGACAAATGTGAGAAAACACTTGAAAAAAAATATACTGTTCGGTGACAAATAAAGAACTTTGACAATTTCCAAAGCTGGATCTTGAAGATCTGATAAGCAACTCCCTGAAGAACAAAATCCTAGTCCTGAAAACTAAAGCAACTCTACATTTTAGCCAATCATAGTCCTGAAAACAGTACCAAATTACAGCTTAGCCAATTATAGTCCTGAAAAGTTCCAACTCTACAGCTTAGCCAATAATAATCCTGAAAATAGTACCAACTCTACAGCTTAGCCAATCATAGTCCTGAAAACTAGCCTACTCATAACAAAGAAGTTAAGAATATAAGTTTTTCTATAGTCACATATGATAAATGTAAATGTAGTTTCACACTCAGAGAGCGTTGACAACCACATACAAATGCCTATAGTAAGTCAAAGACAATCTTGACTGGCAGAGACTACTCTCCTAGGATATTGTTTTGTAAGTTTACGACAAAACCTTAATTTCAAGTAAAGTAAATGAAACAAATACTTAGAATTGTTCCCTACCTCTAAATCATCCAATTATCTCAAGCATATCGTCAGGTTGAATTAATTCAAAGTTAATCCTGGGTTTAAGACATATAACTTACAAATGCACGAATGATACAACATTATACATTATGAAGTACAGTGAAACCCCGATTTAACGCGAATTCGGATATAACGCGATGGGTCATTAACTCTTTCGACACGGG